TGCAAAAGAGAGAATGGATATGGGAAACATTTTGGAACACATTGTTTTTTTGTGACTTTCCAAAGGATTAGTGTGAGTAGAGGCAGTGTTACCTGAACCTTCTACATTTTGAAAGGATGCTCTTTAAGAAGAATGCAAACTTTCCATTGGAAATTTTGGTTAAAATTAGTATTTAGGGCAAACACCGCAAGAAATTACAAGATGTAAGAATACAACATAATATTTTCATTAACTTCCAGATATACATCTTTTTAAATTTTTTCTATAGTTTAGCGGTATTGATTTTTCTTTATCATTTTTAAATATTACAGAATTTCTAAGAACTTGTACAGAAAGAAAAGAAATATAATTCAGTATTTTATCTAGCAGAGTTGATTGATAGCTTAGAAAAATTTGTTTTAGCTTCACCATTCATTAATAATGGCATAGGCAATTCAATGCCTTTTCTCAAATTTGGGATAGCATTATTATATTTTTTTATACCTGATGTTAAAGAAAAACAGCTCACAAAAAAGTTACACAGGTAAGGAAGACTTTATTCAAGGAAGTTGCAATAGAAGTGAGAGACCAGACCTCAGTCTATATCAACTCCACCGAAACAAAGGTGAGAGGGTTTTAAGGAATGGGAAAAGTTAGAGGGGATATTATTCAGGCTCTGAGGCGAGAGGCTTGATAGATTTTTCATGATGAGCCTTTGTGTTTGCTAATGCACATGCATCAATGTTAGCCTCATACCCTCCCAAGGAGACAAGGAGATAGGAGTGCTCACTCCTTGATGATTACATTTCAAAGAGATGGCTGCTATTCTTTCAGAAAGATATTCATGGATTAAAAAGTTTATAAGAGGCTTTTTAAAAAATGTTTACATATCAAAGGGACAAAGAAGGAACGTGTACTTACAAGTTTTCCAAAGAAAATTCTCTAAGAAGAGGTTGGTCAGGGCCTAGATTTAAGAAGAAGCCTATGCAAAGTCTAGCCAAGCTGAGGGGAACCTTAAGTGAATAGTAACAAATTAGTGATTTCAGGTTTTCCTGTGAAGGAACTCTAAACACACTGAATTGATGAAATTTACTAATTAGTTTGAAATTTCAAACATCCTTGTAGTGCCATTTAATCATTTTGAAGTATCTGTTGATATCAGTGTTAATCTCAACTCAGCAAGAAATGCAATTTCCACTATGTTCATATGATCAACATTAATTGAATTATCAAAATTTATTAAAATAGCCCATGAATGACTTCTATTTGAAATATGTCTCTTTGTGATGAGTTTATTTTTGGTATGATCTGGAAAAAAAATGTTAAAATTTGTTAATCAAAGAATACTGTTTAACTTATTCCTAAAAATTTCACAAAAACCTAAGATCTGATGAATAAAATGGGTAGGGATTTTCCCAGGGACACTGAAGCAGTGAGGGCTTAGAGCTTGAGCATCATTGATTTCTGCCTCAGTTAACCCCTGTTGTTGGAGAAAGACAGAGAGAAAGATGGTGAAGGGAGAAGTTGTCGTAGTGCAGAGGTTTTCATACCTCTTCCTTTCTAGAGCTTTTCTTTCTACAGTTCCCAGGATCCTGGAGAAAATTTCCTGAGCATTTTGTCCAGTAGCAACTGTCTTTCCTCAGGTCAAAATCCTCCCTCTATCCATGAGCCCAATCTGGTGGCTTTGTGTGGCCCATTAAATAAGAATGGTTTTTACATCTTTAAATATTGAAAAAAAATCAAAAGATTATTATTATTTGATGACATGTGAACATTATATAAAATTTCCATTTTAGTGTCATGAATAAAGTATCATACCCATTTATTTATGTATTTTCTATTGCAGCTTATCTTGCAGTATCGGGGCTGAGTGATTTTAACAGGGGTCCATGTTACCTTTTGAATATAGCCCTTACTGCTTATTTTAAAAGGGACATTTTTTTTTCTCTCTCTTCCCCCTGTTCTCTAATCTGGGGGCTGAGAACAAGATTACCTTGCATTATCTGCTCTATACAGGAAGGAGATGTCTCTAGAAGATCTAGGAAGTCACTATCTCTCTTGCATGAGTGAATTTCAACACACCCTCAGAGTGCATCTGGGAGCCCCTGCCATGGCACACCTGGAATGAGGCCTTTGAATAGCTTCTTTAAAAGCCCTCTGTTTTCCTTACTGACAGAACCACAGCCTCTGGGACTGGAGTCCCCTGTGTTTCTCCTTTGCTAGCAAAGCAATAAACCTTCATTTTGCTTTTTCTCAAAACTGTGTCCTCATGATTAAATTGGCATGAATTGGCATCCAGTACAAGGACCGAGCTTTCAGTAACATAATTATGACAGTCCCCAAAGTAAAAAAAAACATTTCCTTTCTAGCCTTTTGTAGACAGTTTGCTGACCCCTGGCCTACTTAGTCTGATCAGCAAATAAAACATACATTTTTGATAACTGATAATATTTAGTATTATAATTGATTTGCCTCCTACTAGACATATGTGGCCTCTACCTAATACAAAGAACTGAATAATGTGACATTTTCCAATATGGTGACATGTCCCCCAGGGGAAACATGTTTTAATCACTCAGTCTTCTTTACTCCTCAAATCATGCCATGCAGACAGTAGGCCTCCTAGGATCGTGCAAAGGCAATCTCACTCTAGTTAAATAGAAATATGGTAAATAAAATTACATCTCAAGCTGTCCCTGCTGTTAAAGAATCTCTTTGAAAATTCAATCAGCACCACACTTTTAATTTCATATCATCTGATATTGTTTGGAATTCTTTGACAACAAGCCCAGCAGTCTTCTCCACAGCTTTCAGTTTTCCTTGAATGTAAATTTTCCAGCTGGGCCCTGAAGACCTAGGTGGGGAGACAAAATGAGAGATCTGTATCAGTCAGAATTTTGTTCAACTGCATAAAACAGAAAAGCAAATGAACTTAGCTAAATACTCCACTCCTCCGCCCCTCCAATATAAGTGAAGTCCAGAGGTAAGGAATTGAGGACTAGTACAGCTGCTCAGGACTGTAATTTTTAATAAGGATGGGTAAAAGGGACTAGGGCAGGGTGGGAGGTCCTTGTAGCTTAAAGCCTCACCATTCTTACCATTTGTTTAGCTTTTCACCTTTTAGGCATGATAGACTCTGCCCTCTGTTTGAACTGAAGGTGAGAAAAAGGAAGATTCACGAAGGGCAAAAGGAAAAAAAAGCCTGAAAGCTCTATTAAACAAGTAATTCCATAGCAAACACTAATAAAACAAACTATCTGCCAAGAATTCTTTTAGGATCTTTTTAAATCAGAATTGAGTCCTTCCTGTTTTATAAGATATATATATTACATATATCTCATTGCCCAAAAACATGGCTTCATGGCCATGCCTGGAAGAACAAAGATCTGGGAAGGTAAGCATTTCTAACTAGGCACATGAGGCTCTATTATAAGGTACCATGGAAGAGTGGATACTGGGCATCCAGCCAGAGCAGTTGGCCCCAGTGGGCATAACAGGGTCAGTGATTTGGGTCATGGCATGGTTGATCAGAGTTACTCAGCTGTCTGGATGATTTGTGCCAATCACAGAGGTCAGGTAAAGCATCCAAGACATGAAATGAATCAGACTGACTTTTACAGTCATCTGAATGATTAACTTTACTTAGTCCTAACAGATTATTGTTGTGGCTCTTTCTTTTTTTTTTTTTCATTTTGATGGAGAGCCACTTGCCCACATGGATGGAAGCTGGGGAGTTAACAAAGGGTAACATAAGTTGCCCACTCCCCTGGCAAGGTATGGTGGAGAGTGGAAAAGAAAAATTCCAGACATTTAACACATCCATATATTTCTAGTACCTTGTTGGGTGAGAGAGTTTTAACCTTCCTAGGGAGATTGTAAACTCTGAAAGGCAAAGTTTATCCCTCCAGCTTCTTTATGTTCTCTATGGTTATTAGCACAGAGGCATGTTCTAATTTTGTTCAGAGGTGTGTGAATCTCATAAAGGCACTTAACTCAGAAAAATGAAGTTTTAATTAAGGAATAATTCATCACCTCCTGTTAATAGTCCACTCCATTAATGTCAGTAACATCAAGGAATAAGAGTTCTATATCCTATTAATCCAACTTCTGTGTAAAACTACTTGGAAAATATCCCATTTTTCTTCATATCTTACAAAATGAAATTTGGTGTCTACAGAGTATTAATGTGTGCAGAGAACTTTTCTCTCAATCCCCCACCCATGGATATTTAGTTTCAATTAAAAAACTAGAATACTGGAGGGTCAATCTATAGGGTATCTGTTTGACTTTAATGTTTTTCCCTGTTTGTCTGTAATTCACACAATTTCAATCTTATACTCTTTATTCTCAGTCTTCAAGTACTTATAGCAAGAAGACAATACAACAATGATGCTGTATTGAAAGTTGGCAGCAGCAATCTTGCAGGCTTAATTTTTATACTACTTTTAGCACTAAATCATAAACATCCTTTAAAAGTAATTGATCTTTCAGATTAAGTCTGTATTTGCTTCCAAAAAGAAAATGGTTTTTGAAACTGTTTTTAACACAAAACAACAGCTGTTCCCCGTTTCATAAGCGGGAGAAGTTTGGAAATCTAATTCGTTTTCTGGAGGGCCGAGATGGTGTACTGGAGTAGAATGGGGGTGGATTGTGTTTTCTCTTGCTGACACATTATATTGCTGTGAGTCATTACATATAGAGAAATATAGCTGCAATTCATTTGTATGAGCTCTTTGTATGGAACACAGCTCTCTAGATGCTTTTGTTAGAACATTTACTTTCTGTTTTCTTTCATTCATTAGAGAAGGCAGTGTGATTTTTAGGGAAGAACATGGATTTGATGTGAAAGAGACTTTTGTTCAAATCACTGCATTGCTGCATACTAGCTCTGAAGGTCTTGGACAATTCTTTGATCCTTCCTTTCTACCAAAAGGGAAAAAATACCTTACATAGAATTATTGCAAGAACTTTTAGAGTGACCATTTATTTCCATTCTACTATTTTGTGTTTTCTTGGCACAGAGGGAAAAATTCATAAAACTACTGGACCAGTTGCATAACTCTCTAAGGATTGACCTGTCAAAATATAGGGTATGTACAAAATTATTTCCCTAAAGGTAAACATTGGTGTTTGTTCCAAATGAATTCTTGCCATGTTGTAAATTTATCCATTGTGTAAAATAAAAGTGAAACATTTTGATTTCAGGTGTCATCACACTAGAAGTAACCTACAGATTTTCTTTATTTGGAAAGGTGCTTAAATGCTTTGCCCCACTTAAACCTACAGCAATCATAATACTCTGTATGTATGTGCAGCTTTCATTGTATAATTTTCAAAATAAATATCAGATATGCTAACTTATGAGTATGGCCCAGTCCTCATATTTGAAAATTCACTTCTTGTTACTGAGATAATTTGCTTGATATTTCCCCAAAGTCTGAGATATCTGTTGGAATTTACTGCTCAATTCTGTCTTCCTGAATCAGTGTACTTGTTCAACACTGTCCAGAGTTCATTGTCAACAATTCTATTATTCTACTTCTAGGTGAAATGGATACACACATGCATATAAACACACACACACACACACACACACACACACAATTTTAGTTTTAAAATGCCTTACAAAATTGAGTTACAAATTTCAGTTTCAAAAATATAGTCATAACTATAGATGTTCTTATACCTCATATATTCTTTTTGTTTGTGTGTGAGTACGGCTAGGGATCATTATGAAGACTTTGTATTTGCTAGGCAAATGCTTTACCATCTTGCCTTCTCTAACAATTTATCCTAAATCTTCTTTTCATATTTACACATATGCTTCTCTTCTGCATCCATTTTTAATTAATCTCTTACTGACAGTGTTCTTAATTGTATATTTCTAGAAATTATACAAACCAAATTCTATCAAGCTCATAGTTCATGTTGGAACTTGGGATGAAATGATGTGAAAAGAATCACCATGACAGCCATTAAAAAAGATATTTGGGGGCAAGAAGGGCCTTGGGACTACCCCCATTCAACCATCCTTTACACATGCCAGCTGTACTTAAGTTCATGAGTAAAATCTGGTAGTTAGTTGAGATTTTCTTGTGGCTCTTTAGAAAGCCAGTCTGAGAGCAAGATGAAAATTTTCTCAATGTTTAAATAAACTCTTTCTCTAAACATTTTCATGCATGTATATCTCTTTTACTTCAAAATTCTGAACATCTGTGTTTTTAATGATACTTCTCACCAAACTTCACTAAAACTTTAACTTTTTAAAATGATACTTAGGTTTTTTAAAGGAGAGACTATACAATGCAGTCTTATTCCTTAAACTTTTAAAAGTTTCTTTGTGATAAAAACATATTAGATGTACAGTGCTCAAAGTATTTTTGCAAAAATGTACCTATATTTAGAAAATAATGAGAAGATTTTCAAATATATACCAATCTCCCTTCTTTTAGTAGCATAATAATTTTATGAGCAAGGATTGACATAATAACATTGCCATAAGGATATTGTTTTGTACTTTTTGATTGAATTGTGAGTATAAATAAAAGGATATGGCTTTCTAATAGGAAGAATAAATTATTTCCACATCTTCCATTTTCCACAACATTGTATGATAAAAATATTTTGAGAATACTTCATGGATCTTTTTAAATTTTTATGCAATTTACTTCCCATTTTCTTTCACAGTAAGCTAGTTTTAGTTTATTTTCCCAATGGAGGTTTAATGCTGGCAACTTTACTCTTTTCTATTTCCTATTTCTCCAGGAAAACTTTCCTGCCAGCAATAGTGAAAGACTACAAGACCTGAAATCAACTGTTGACCTGCTGACAAGCATCACCTTTTTTAGGATGAAGGTATCTCATTTTATTTCTGTCAGTGTCTTGGTGTGACATAAGAACACATATATTCCCTGGAAAATTCTCTTGCTTAGTACTGTTCAACATCAGCAATTAAGTCTGAGCTAAATGAATCTTCCAGTGTGAGGTGTAATTTAAGAAGGGATTATTCTAGACACAACATATGCTGATCCATTTGGTTCAAATTTAGTCTTAAGTTAAACTTATTTTAAACAAAGCTCTCTAGTAAGTGGACATGGCACTTAAGAAAAAACTCCAAAGATTGTTAAATGGAAAGGGAGTTCATTTATTTTGATTTTAACTCAAATGTTTTACTGACTTTTCACTGCAAGAGAGTAACTGACTCTTGTTTACTCCAATGTGGCTACTTCTGTTTTTAGCCGTGGCAATATTTATGTTGAAATATATTTGATCACCTAATCCATCAAACTATCCAGGCATTTCTTTTCAGACATATCTCCTCTGCTTTACTAGCAAGATATTGCAATCATAATTTTGCCCAGCAATTTAACTTAGGCTTTCCAAAAATAGTTTGCTAGGCTGTGGGCTAAATATTTTTACTCTGAGAGACAGCATTGTGATGGTTATTCAGAAGCCTCCTGGATGGAAGTTGTCCATGATTTTTTTTCCACTTAAAGCACTAAAAATGGCATTTTGGAAGAGACAGAAAACAAAAGCATACTGTAATGGTGGTCATTTATATTCTTTTAAGTTCAATTAAAATCATTTGACTTACAATCAGGCTATATTGAGTGACTGATGTCCATTCTGATCCACTGGCAGTAGCTATTGGAGCAGTGTGTAGAGGATGATATTGACAGCCAGTTAAGGGTCACTGGGAAAGTTGACTCAGATTGACACGCAATACCTGCCACTGAATTGAGGGGTGAGGAAATGGGAGTGAGGGTTGAAGAGTACCAACACAGTGCTGTGCATCCACAGTGCTTTGGTCACAAGCCTTTCAGTGTTAGAATACATCGTGTCCTAAACCTGCCAGTTTTCCTCCCACACCCTCACCAGCAGCTGATGATTGTTTCTTACATCACTGAAAAAGAGAGGAACAAAAAGAAGGGAGCATCCTCAAGTTCCTAGCACATAAGCCCACCACCTATTTCATCATGCTACTTCCTGTTTCCATATATTCATCCTTCCTTTTTATGACCATCGATGATCCATCCATTATCTGAGAAATGGCTGTCTCTTCCACTTTTGGAATTGTTTTCATCTCCTCTATGTATTAGCAGCATTGGTGCAGCAATCCTTCCAAATCTCCTGAATTATAAATTTTCTCTTCTCTACTGAATATTTCCATTACCAAACATACCGTAATTTCTCCGTATTCAAAATACTGCTTGACTTCACTTTCTTCTATAGCTACTACCACAGTTCCTGTTTTCCTTTGATAGCAAAACTTCTCAAAATAGTAATTTACACATTTTCTTTCCCTGCATTATCTTGTAAAAAATTGCTCTCATCCCTTCATATTTTCCCTCATTATAGCTAATAAACTAACTTTTTGCTGTATGATTACATTAATATGACAAATGCATAGTTGTATACCTATCATGATAAGATACAGAAAAGTTCCATGAGCCTATAAAATTCTTTTGTGCTGCCTCTTTATAGTCAACACTTTCTACTACCTGGCAACCAGTGATGTTCTCTGACTAGGTTTGCTGTTTCCAGAACATCACACACACTAGGTAGCATAACATATTGGAGATCCATCCACATTGTTGAGTGTATCAACAGTTCGCTCTTTCTTGTTGTTGAGTGGTAATTCTTTGTTATGTATGCCCTGCTTTATTATGTATGCACTGTTTGTATAATCACTAATTGATACACATTTAGGTTGTTTCCAGTTTGGGGTTATTAAAAAGAACTGTCATAAATATTCATGTTCAAGTTTATGGTGTAAACATAAGTTTTCACTTTTCTTGGGTAAAATCCCCAGTCAAAAAGTATGATAGTTCCATCTGTTCTCCATCTTCTAGAGAAGTTTTTAGTACTTTCTTAAATCATTTATCTATTGATCACCTATTTTTTCTTATGAGTAAAATTACATTGGATTATAGCCCTAAATTTCTCTTTAAAATGAATAATGTTGAGCATCATTTCTTGGAGAAATCAAAATCAGAGAGTTTTTCCTATGCTGCTTCTAAAATTTTTATTTTAGAAAAAAATAAATTAACATAAAATGTGAGGATAAAATTTTGGCTATTTATATTTTAATAGCTCCAAAGTCATTTATTGAAATAATTTTCTACTCTCCATTAAATTGCTTTTGTACTATCATAAAATTTTTTAAAATGACCATGTGTTTTTGAGTCTTTTTCAGAACTTTATATTGTTCAGAATAGATCAGATTCCGAGTTCTACCACCACCATACT